GGCATCCAAAGACACACAGTACATTTGTTTTACTGACCACTGCACAGAACGATGACCTCATCTTCAGTTGTTGTTGATGGGCTGAGCCTCTGCCCTACCCCTCCCCCAAACATACCTACTGCAAGCCCCATCGACAGCATACTCCTGGGTGTATAAACTTCCTATTTGGCTTAGTTAAAATGTTATCCTAACCAACTGTCCAAATGGTTCTGCATCAGCCAGGTATCTCCTTATTGATGACATTCTCAGTCTGTATCATCTCCAAACTTCATCAGTTATTATTTCCTTCTTGCTCAATGACTAAAAATAAATCAAGAACCAAATCACAGCAACATTGTAGTGATAATTCTCTGCTTAATATTTGCAAGTTTTAAGCCTTGGAAATTTTTGTATAGTTAAGTGAGAGGGAAACTAATACAGTATATCTTCTAATTTAAGATGATAAATGGAACATACTTAAAGATTTAACAGAAAAAAAGCATTACCTCGTTTGCTGAACAAACTGTAATAAAAAAAGGAAAAAAAACCTGGCACAATCCATTTTCCCCTCCACCCACATTAATTAGTATTATATTACTCTCCCTTACTTTTTAACTGATTGACTTCCAAGTCAGATTGTTTTTTGTAGCATCCTTTTTCATTTCTAAATACCTGGGCCATCCACTTAACCTTTCAAATACTGGCACAGCATTTGCTTTTCCAGTCTTGCAGAACTGCAGTGCTCAAAAATTATTAACAATATCAACAGGAACTGCTGATAGAGTTTCTTAGACAGCTCTCTTCAGCTCTCTGAACGCAAATTGTTCAGACCTGACAATGCAAAAATCTTCAGTTTCAATTACTGAGCTTGTCTTCAATAGCTGTTAATCAACATTCTCAAGTTATTATTGGAATGAGAAAGTCTATGCTACTAAAACTGTGAGATAGTAACTACGGAATGGTTTAATTGTCCAAAAACCTGGCCAATTTTCTGTGTTACGACATTAAATGACTAGCAGATTGCCTCGATAACCCAAACAGCTTTCATTAGCACAGCTTCCTAAAACACTTCAAAAATTCTCTACTTCTTACAGCTGAGATTTCTCCTCATATCCTTTTGTACTGTAGTAAATAAAAGCAGCTGTTTCCTGTAAGCCAGGTCATTTTCACTGACAGCAGACTCTCAGTGAAGCTGATGCTGTTCAGACATGTGAGTAAGCTCAACCCTAGGTAAAGCACCAACTTTGCTCTGGTGTGCTCCCGTTCTGAATCCTCAGCCTCATGGCATGCTCAAGCTTCCAGGCCAGGAAGTTCAGGAGGAGGATAGAAGTTGAGGAGGAGTGATGTTATTTTCCAGAAGAAAATACGTAGGACGGAATGGGGGGAATGTGCCTAGCCCCCTCCTCCTTGGACTTGTTTTCCTGTGCAGTGATAGACACCACCACTGCACTTTCACTGTCCCCAGGATGACTTGCTTGACTAAGAAGAAACTGAAAAGCTCCGTGGATTGCCCTCCTGCTACAGCCCAGAGGTTGAGTAACTTGGAAATGGAGTACTACTACTACAGCTACATTCTTAAGTGTGTTTGAGAAAGACTGCTTAGTATATTTTCAGATTTAATCTGGAACCAAAACAACATCCCTGCAATTGCTGGACCCCAGTGCTATTCCTCCCTTGAATGGCCAATGCCAGCAAACAGGTGACACCAACAGTTTGTGAATCACAGAATGGTTTGGGTTGGAAGGGAACTTAAAGATCATCTCGTTCCAACCCCCCTGCCATCAGCAGGGACACCTTCCACTAGACCAGGTTGCTCAAAGCCTCATCCAGCCTGGCCTTCAACACTTCCAGAAAAGGGGTATCCAGAACTTCTCTGGGCAACCTGTTCCAGTGTCTGACCACCCTCACAGTGAAGAATTTCTTTCTAATGTCTAATCTAAACCTACCCTCTCCAAGTTTAAAGCCATTTCCCCTTGTTCTATCACTACCCGTCCTTGTAAAAAGTCCCTCCCCAGCCTTCCTGTAGGCCCCTTCAGGTACTGGAAGGCCGCTATAAGGTCTCCCTGGAGCCTTCTCTTCTCCAGGTTGATCAGCCTCAACTCTCTCAGTCTCCTCATAGGAGAGGTGCTCCAGCCCTTAGATCATCCTCGTGGCCTCCTCTGGACTCGTTCTAACAGGTCCATGTCTTTCTTGTGCTGAGGGCCCCAGAACTGGACACAGGACTCCAGGTGGGGCCTTACGAGAGTGGAGTAGAGGAGGAGAATCACCTCCCTCGACCTGCTGGCCATGCTAGGAAGCCGCAGTCATTTCAGGATTGCTAACTACCAACATTGGCAAGCAGGACACTTCAGCTACACAGGGCAGAAACAGAGGCAGTTTGCTCATGGCATGGCAGAGCACACAGCAGCAAGTTGCTCTGTCTCAATCCAAGTGGGAAGGAAGAAGAACCAGGACACACTAGGAACATCTCAACTATTATGCACCTGGCACACAACACAAAGACTCTCATAGCACAAGAGCTGTCTACATCTCAGGACCTGATTGCAAGAAATACTTTTACCAAAATGAACTTTTAGATGATCTTCTAGAGGATAGAAAAAGAGACAGAAAAAGGGAAATCCAGTTGTTCTAGCTGTATCTTCAGAAAACACTGAGCTATATGAAACCACTACACTATTTCCTACCTCACTAAAATGACATGCACTGCAATGCCACATGTATCACCAAGTGCATATGAAGAACAAGCGCTCTCTGGAAAAGATGTCTTGTGGTACGGCACAGAAAGTGGAAAATTTTCACAAAGATGTGCCAGCCTTCAATTTTGTGTTACAGCTGACTGTCAGCTGCAGTGAAGTAAAATTACATGGGTTTGTGGTGATGAAAATTTTACAGCAGCTCTACATTTTTCACTTCTCAAAGGTTTAAATGTAAATATTCATGATCTCCACAGAGTATATTTTCCGCATCAAATAAATTTTGAATGTTTTATCATACAAACCACTAAAATGATTTTGCACGATCTTTCAAAGAATACTTACTTGTTCATTAAAGTGGAAAATTTCAACTGCAAGTGTTAGAACATTCAGAAGATGATGAGCATGAAAACCTAAGTGAGTCAGATAGTGTTCTGTAACTACTGTGTCTTAAAATGCAGAAAGTTTGTCTGGTCACGAAAAATTTATTATCTTTTTACAAATCTCAGTTTTCCTTGGAAACCCCACTTACTCATGTCAGGACATTCCTAGTTCAGCTCCAAAGTATTTCAAAATCACTGTGTAAGATGAAAGCATCACAGAAACCATTCTCTTAGGGTTTAACATTCACTCAGATGGTTCAAAAATGTAGTTATGCACAATCTAAGCACATTAACTAAATTTTCCATCATGTGACAATAAACTAAATCTGAACGTAATGGGAAAAAAAAATACTTGAAACTAATCAGCTCTTACATTTTCTCAATTATTCACTCAATAATTGTGAATGGAGTTAATTTGGAAAAAAAGTTCAAATGTTTAAAAATTAGAAACTGGTAGAAATCTCTTTGACTGAAGTTATGCTTAAACATATCAATGGCATCAAAGAGTTAAAATGAAAGCCATTAGTAATTCCTGATAAATCAAATCTAATGAATAGTATCTGCTTAATCACATACAGCAGCAGAAAAATTTAGCTTTTCAGTGCTAGGGATACCCCGACAAGGAGAAGAGAGAGTAAAAAAAGTGCATTTATTTCTACTACACTCAGTTATCAATTAATAAAATATTACAGTGATGACTCTACAGTATCGATAAACAGCCTTAGAGACAGTGGAAGCAGTAGGAATAGAATATTTAGAATTAGAGCAAAAGAATTTACAGAAGAATAATCTGACTTTTCACTGCTAATTGGACAAAGCAGAAGACATCTACCTGTAAAATGAAAATAAATCCTGAAAAAGATGGGACTTCCTCTCCAGGTCCAGCCCAAGGTAAAGGCTCGCTCCCGCCCGTGCTGGGGAATGCATGCTGCGGCTCCCACCCGCTCCCCAAGGAAACGCGCAGAGATGTGTGGAGAGCTTTCCCTTTCCTGCTCCAAGCTGCAAACGTTTAAAGGGGAAACCTTCATCTAAGAGGCAAACGAGAGGCAGCCTCAAAGCACAGATTCAGGGAGAGAAGACAGCCATTCGGTTCAAGTGTGCTCTGCCGACGTTTGCCCTCTCCCCGTACCCAAGGGTTGCTAAGCTGTAATGCTATGTGATGGTCAAAGCTATCTGTAGGCACACGAACCCTTTGTGCTGCAGGGTAGCTGGGTTGTTTCTATCAAGAAAGAACAAACATGCTAGACAGCTTTGGTGACTTAAAAAACATCACTGATACAAACAGTAAGTCTCCTTTCTAAAACAGATTTTATCTGTGGCGCAGAGAAAGGTAAAAAGCAAAACCTAATCAGGCTGCAGTTCTTGTGTTGGTGCAGACATTCCCATCGACTGCAAATGGAAGCTTTCACTACAAACTTAGAACTGTCAGACCAACAAGTCCTCAGCATCACTTCCAGAGTACCTTCTGTGAAAGCATCTTACCACTGCACACGTGTCCTGTAAATGAGGAATATGTATGTGCACGCACTCCAGAGATGACACCAGCCTTGTACAGACAGGGACACCTTTCCTGTCAGTGTTGTCCTGCTGTATGCATCATGTACTATAAACAGTACAAAAAAAAAAAAAAAAAAAGGGGAAAAGATGCTTTGTGAAAATTAAAACCCTTGAAACGTAAATGAAGCTATCTGTTTAACACTGTAAGTGCTAAACATGATTTGGCCAACTGATACTACAAATCCATCTTAAAGTATTAAACATAAGGTGCCATTTAGAATAGTAGTATGCATTTCTGTGAATAACCCCCAAAACTATGTCAATTTCTTAGACTTAAAGGAAAGAAAGAGACATACAGTTTTTATACCCTTCTTCCCTTACACAGTTAAATGCAAATTCTGCTTTACAGTCATATTCTTGATATCTCCCTGCATACACAGCTGATACGCCACCTACTGCAAACCCGAGCTGACAGTCGGAGCAATGCGAGCAGCATTTCCATTCCAACATCGTGCTGGAGCTGAATAAAGGTGCTTTTTTAAAAAAAACCAAACCAAAACACCTCTTTGCAAGCTGACAAGAACAAAGCAAGATAGCTGCCTTTTTGTCCTAGCTTCAATAATGGAGAGAAAAATAAACAGAAGAGAAAAGGAATGTGAAGAAAAACACAGCAACTCCGAAGGCTCTGAGCAAGACAAGGACTATAAAACGTCTCTGATTACTCTGAATGTTGGTGGCTATCTATATATCACACAAAAACAGACACTAACCAAGTATCCAGATTCTTTTCTGGAAGGGATCATAAACGGAAAAATAATGTGCCCATTTGATGCAGACGGTCATTACTTCATAGACAGAGATGGACTCCTTTTCAGACACATTCTCAACTTCCTCCGAAATGGAGAACTACTTCTACCAGAAGGGTTTCGAGAAAATCAACTTTTGGCACATGAAGCAGATTTTTTCCAGCTTAAGGTACTCTCGGATGCAGTGAAATCAAGGTGGGAGAAAGAACAGCTAGCATCTCGAGAGACTACTTTCCTGGAAATAACTGACAGCCACGATCGTTCACAAGGACTTAGAATCTTTTGTAATGCTCCTGATTTCATCGCAAAAATAAAATCCAGAATTGTACTGGTGTCCAAAAGCAGGCTGGATGGATTTCCAGAGGAGTTTTCGGTATCTTCAAATATTATTCAATTCAAGTACTTCATAAAGTCTGAAAACGGTACACGACTCGTACTGAAGGAGGACAACACCTTTGTCTGCACCCTGGAAACTCTTAAGTTTGAGGCTATAATGACGGCTTTAAAATGTGGATTTAGACTGCTGACCAGTCTGGATTGTTCAAAAGGGTCAATTGTTCACAGTGATGCACTTCATTTTATCAAGTAATCGCAAAGGCAAAGGAAACAAGCATGCAGCCAGTAAATCTCCTTGACCTGCAGCCTCCTGGCATCACAAATAATGTATCTAACTAGCCTTGTACCACAGAGCTCGGCTGCTAATCAAGTAATGTGAGCTAATGGTATGTAAATCTCATAATGACATCCATCTCTGGCTTACTTAAGCTGAATGACAATTGTATGCCTGAATTTAATAAAAATTATCTGCTAAACATTGTAAACACAGATTGAATGCTTTATGCTCTTTGTAATATATGTTTTCTCAATGCTGTCTTTCAACCAGACAGTCTAGCTGAATTTTTGTGTACTTGTACGACTAACACGCACACACCTAACTGCTCTGCTGAACAGCAGTGAGAGTATTTTCATATAATAAACAGGCTTAAAATATGTTTTGCTTATAACAAATTCCAAATGGATTTTAACTGGAATAAATGATTTTGAATGTTCATTAGTGTTTATGCTAATCTATGGTACCGAATTTGCAAAAAAAACAAACCAAGATTGCAAGAGGGTTCAAAATTAACCAACTTGATTTTAAAGTTAAATGATTTCTCAACTCACTTAAAACCAAATTTATAGTGATGTTACTACATTAATAACAATTGCCAAAAACATGTGAAGCCACAAGATAATGCTGGGGCGATTAATTACATTATGGAAAATGAGCTGAATCTGCACAGAATGTTAAATTTTTTAATTATATATACTTATCAAATGGCTAATAAAAATATTTGGCATAAAATTTCATGTAATGACATCCTACAATGCTAAAGACACTATTTCCTAGTAATCATTTGTGTTGGTCAGAAAAGGCAATTAACAGAGCCCTTGCCTTTCACAATGGCTTACTAAAAGCAACTAGTACTATTAGTTTTGAATAGACCACCTGCTGGCATTTAAGATGCATCACTCTAAGTAATAGAAATAATCTCTTCTTTCTCCTCATCTCCACTATTTATCAAATCTTTTCTTTTATATTTTAAACAGTTGTAATAGCTTCCATGGAACAACTCTTAACTAATTTAACCACAAGCATTACAAACCAGTCACTCCACAGAAGCGGACTGAAAAATCATCATAAAAGGCAAAAAGAAGCTGCACTCAGTTTAAGCTTTGTCCATCATTGAACCCAACCATTATCCACAGCTCAAATGAAGACAAAATTTAATTCAATGCTATTAAAGAAAGAAAAAACAAGCAAGTAGTTTCTCAACTTTCCCAAAACATCAATTTTGTATAGAAAAAAAAAATGCTAAGAATGCTAACAAAATGCAGTGCAATCCATACTAGAAATGACAAACAAAGAAAATAGCTAACACAAGACAGGCTGAGAACAGTTTTCTTTCAGATTTTAGAGGAAACAAATATATGCTTAGTGTAACTGGGAATGCAAATGCAAGGTCCACTTATCCTTCAACGCGAAGCTCTATGTGACCTGTAACATACAATAGTGTGTTGTTAACTGGGTCCCTCGCCAGAGTTGAATTAAGAGAGGGACTCTCACACCTCCAGACCAGGCAGCAGTGACTGAAACATATTCCAATATGATTTTATCAAATGGGGAAATCCAGCCTCTCCAGAATACTCCACCAGAATGAACCCACTGTCTAGAAACTATGAACTTTTCTATCCAGTCCCCATGTTACAGACTTATGGATCATCAAAGATGTGGTTCTAATCAGAACTTTTCCAAACCAAACTGTTTAAAAATCAGATCACTCTACATTTCAGGCATACAAATTGCAGAACTGTTTATGTATCTGAAAAATTCTCTGAGTATGTCCAAATGCATTAACTATCTACAAACAAAAGGTATATAGTAAAATACAATTATTTACACACTTTTTTTACACTTCTAGGCCATCCTAGCTAGAACTCCATCACTGCGTGTCATCCTCCCTCCCTTCCCTTCCACAAATTATTTTTGAATTGATATCTTAAAAAAAATCCTCATTAACCACTAATCTTGTGCACACAAGAATCTCTAGGACTTCTGTGAAAAGTAAATGTGAAAACTTCTCTAGAAGAAATCCAAAATCCTGATGATCTTCTATGACGAGTACTAGGAACACTGTCACACAGAACAATTACATAAAAAGCCCCTTGTGAACACAATTCTCTACATGAGTAAGAAAAAATGACAAGACAATCTAAAAATCTCCATAACTAAGCTACAAGTCTTAAAGAAGCATGCTCTTAGTGCTGTCAAATACAGAGCCTGCATAAGCATAAAGTCTGGAGGAGGCTGTTGCTCCTAGGATGTCATATCATCCATTTTCACTTAAATGCTTTTGGTTATAACCTTCACTTGTAATGGATCTTTGACTGAGATTTAAAATGTCATTGCAGTTGAAAAGAAAAATAGCAAAAATCAATTTTGATTTCAAACAATTAATATACTTACATGTTAATTAAAATACATTGTGGTTGCTTGTCTTTCAGTTGGGCTCTTAGGATGTCCAACGTCAAGAAAATGTTGGTACTTTAGCATCAGAAAGCAGTACCAGTTTTTTATCACAGCATGACTTTACTCATGAAAAAGCAGTAGAGAATTTGATGGTAGAGAATTTTTTTAATAGAAAATACTTTTGGATTATAAACTATTCACAAGTTGGTAATCACAGGTAAAATTCAAACAATCTGAAATATCGTCTAAGAACAGTCTCTAGCTATTCTTAAAAGATTTACTGGAAAGCTTTTATTGGCCAGGCCTTTGGCTCAGAGTACCTACTTCCCTCTTAACCTATACAAAAGAAAGATTATTTGAAACTCTTTTTTTTTTTTTTTTAAGTGAAAAATGTACATCTCTAATAATTAGTAAAAAAAATAATTTGTGGTGTTTTTTTAATTTAAAGTGCAATGATTCATTAGGGTAAGCACTTTTCACTGCATATTATTTTTATTTCTGTGTAAATAACACTGACATCTACGGCATACATGTGAAGTCATTTACTGTAACACCAACTTCAACCTTGCCATCTTTTCCCATTTTCATGAGCCCTCATGCACTTCTACAAGCGTCAGGGTTTGAAAGTTTTATGTACCATCTCTGATTGAAGGCGCATCACTCAGCTGTTTGATACCCATAGCAGAAACAGAAGGAAGATGGGCTGCCAAATATAATTCTCTTCCTTGTTCACATTGAACAAATCCACAGCTACACTGAATCACACCATTATCAGCCACAATCAAGATACTTCAAATGAGTTATAAACCTAAATAATTTTTCAAACCAGGGTGGGCGAGTGCCTTGCTTTGGTATATGAACAAAATGACCACGTAAAACTTCCATACTGTGCATAATGTTTCCTTTTTACTTCATAAATACATTCAATACAACATAAATATATTTTGCATATATTCAGTTCCTAAGGTAGATGCTTGTGTTCCACCACTGTAGGCTGTGCCAGAAAAGGTACCGAGTTACCTTTCCTGTCTTTTCTTTAAGGTTGGAAACTGCATACTTAATTTACTAAGGCAATAAGAAAGCTGCTTAAGTCAGAAATACTAACAGTTGTTCTAACAACATTACTTTCAATATGATGTGCATGCAAAGTATTTCTATTCATCTTTCTCCCATTAAGAGCTGGATCATGATTAACTTATCAGAACAGTCATACAAGTATCAGGAAGGTTGGCAATTTCCATCCTTTCTCTGATGATCTTCAATTGCTCAGGCAGAAGTAAAAATGAACTTCCTCCTCCTCCCCCAATGAGGCACTTAACCTGCTTCCACACAGGTCAGCTCCTCTTAACTCCCTGTCCATCTTCTCAGGTAAGAAAAAGGGCCACCAAGCAGACAATTCTGAAGGGAGCTGAAGGCAGAACTGAGCCCCATACTCTAAAAAAAGAATATCCCTGCCCCATGAGTTCCCTGAATGACTGCTCATGAAAGAGCAGTGCCAAATTGACCAAAATAGCCATTATACTCCTTCCACCTTTCCATTAATGGAAAAACCAATGGTTCTTTTCTCACGCTTGGCAGTACACTGGCATAGTTATCACCTATTTGTTTTTTTTTCTGTGTAAGGACAAAACATAAGAGTGGCTGCACTATTCCAGATTAAGGTCTCTCTAGCCCAGTGTCCGCTGCTAACTGTGAACTGTTTCCATCCCCTGATCCTTCACATCTCTGGGCAGAATCCCCATTTTTGATCCTTTGACCCTCACATCCTTCCCCTTATCTTGTCTTCCTCTCACATCATACAACTACTTTTCATTTTCCTTTCACCGTACCCCTCCCTTTCACCAGGAGGGCTGTGGGGCTTCATTAGGGTTGGGCAGCAGCCTGACTCAAGAGGAGAAATCAGTAAAGACAGTGGCCAAAAGCAGATGCCGAAGAAAGAATCTAAGAACCAGGAAAAAACACAGACGATGATGCTCCACTGAAGTATTCTCTCAGTCTCCAGCCACTTACTGCCCAAGTTTGCCCAAGGAAGTTGTGGATGTCCCCTCCCTGGAAGTGTTCAAGGCCAGGTTGGATGAGGCTTTGAGCAACCTGGTCTAATGGAAGGTGTCCCTGCTGATGGCAGGGGGGTTGGAACTAGATGATCTTTAAGGTCCCTTCCAACCCAAGCCATTCTATGATTCTATGACTTCTAAAGCCAGATGTGCTATCTTGGAGGTAGCCTTGATGCTGTGAAATACACAGGCTGTGCAACAAGGTCAAATTAGAGCTCCAACTCTGCATCTTCAGTACTTGCTCACCCAGTAACCAGTATATCACAGCACCATAATTGCACTATTGACATTTTCAAACACTCATGTCTTATTTTTAATTGTGTTTTTGCATTCGTACCTATTTACAACTGTGTACGTGACAATTGGTCACTTCTTTTCTGCAGTAGTTAACACTTCTTTAGCTCCTAAAGGGGGAAAAAAACAAATACTAAAATTTAATAATGGCAGCACCTCATCTGTTATTTTATTTGTATAGAAGGGTCATGTTGCCCTAATCCTGTTGACTAATGAATCAGGATTGGGGATGAAGGGGATGAGTTAACTTGGATCTATGACAAAATAAATATTATTTCAAAATTATTTTCTTAGACTAGAACTATTTCATCTTTGCTAGATCACTATGGCCTAATCCTAATTTTATCTCCTGTCCTGCAACACAGGGCAGAAATTCTTAAGACTGACAGGAAAGCAATCACTAGTTAAAAAAATAAAAGTATTTTCATTTAGAGAGTCAAGCTTGCGTAATTTACTAGGTTAAAACAAAAGCAATCTATAAGGCATGAGAAATTTAAGATCAGAAAATTAACATTATGTTTTTTAATTACTTTTGAAATAGACATTCTGTAAATTCTGTGCACCAGTATATCACACAGAACATTGTCTCAAAACACTGCCTCTATAAGTCATCATCATTCACAACAAAATGCCAGCACAGCAAGGACTGAGGAAGGTAGGAGGGAGATGTATGATGACACCTGAGGAACGCGG